TCTGCATTTAGCCCAGTTGGTTAGTCTTAAGGGTGACCACACTGTTTACTCTCACTTTGGCCGGCCTCTATGTTTCAGAGTCCACTGCCAGCCTGGTGGAGCAAAGTTTCAGGTGTGTCTAGTGTAGGCTCGACAGGCAGAGCCTTTCCAGTGCTTCCTGAAGAACTCTCAGGACCCTGGATGGGCTGGCACCAGCAAGATCTCCAGCAGCAACTGTGATTTCTGGTCACCCTGTGAGTCTTGGGGACAAGGAGCATATATACCTTCCTGGAGTAGATTACCTGGCCATGCAGGTGTGTGAGACAGAATTGAGGTTGCAGGTGGAAAATGTCTTTCCTGCACTGGCAGTAAAGACACAGTGAGAAATCCTTCTCTGGTATTTGAATAAAAACCACAGGCACATGCTCTCCTGGTTCCTACCCCTCCTCCTCTGCCCCAACAGCCCCCCAAGTCTGATGTTTTCCCCAGATAGACCTCCCCTTCCTGCCTTAAACTCAAGTAGTTGTCTCTGCTGATCTGTTTTTTTCTGTCCAAATAGCACATAGTTCAGCCCAAGTTCTTGAAGGCTTGAGCGCATACTTTGACACTGCTATGTGTGAGCTTCGGCGATGGCTCCATTCCTCTCAAACCTACCCAACATGCAGACAGAGAATCTACCCAGCTCAGAAATCTGCTGCAAGGATTAAACTGTGCATTTTAGATGAAGCTTTTATGATGATGAAGAGGGAGACAGAAAACAATCACTTGGCCTTAGTCTTCTCTCCACAGTTTATGTGTATGAAAATCATGCTACAATTTGGTCCCAATCTCAGTTCCCAAAGATAGGCTGAGAATAAACCTGCAAACTCTGAAAAGTGGAGGGATAAGTTGGTGAATGTGTACCCCTCCATGTACACCACTAAATAAACACTTATTTTTCTGATGACAGCACTAGTCTCATCACCATGCTCCTATTCTCACTCTCCAATTTCAAGGCAATCTTTTAAAAGGTATGATTATCAGAAAGAAGCAGAGTCTGAAATCTCTGGTAAGGGAAACAGGAAGTACTCAACTAAAAAGCCCAAGAGCCACAACTGGGTCTGTCGCCCAAGTACCACCATCAAGGGGCAGAAAAAAGAGGTTTTGACCCCAGGAAAATAGTTGGAAACCAACCGGGAAGTTTTGAATGACAGGAAGAGCAAGGGAGAAGAGGAGAGACAAAGGAGAGAGGGAAGAGCAAGAGAGCTGACCTTATATCACAGCTGATCCATTGCTTCTGTCTTGAGAGCCTCTCCTTTTACAGGTGGAAACCAACTGACCAGAGTACTGGGATACAAGGGTAGTAAGGGCCTAAAACAGCCTGTGAAAGGCATCTCTTCTGTCTCTCAGGTGTGTGGGTGTGGGCAGGGATCCTGGTAGCCAGATTTCCTCAGCCATTGTTGTGAGTGTATAGTCTTCCCAACAAGGGCCGCTGTTGGCCCACAGTTCTCCATGATGTACTTGTTAATGGGGATTGGTAGCTACTCAACAGGGCTCTTGTTCTACTTTGTTCTTTCTTTCCTAGGCCTCTGACCTCTCACCCCTTACTCATCTCTCCCTTCCTGCAGGATGATCTCCAGAACTGAGAATCATCTGGCTGTGATATTGGTGGGGCTCCCGCTGAGGCTGGGCAGTCTAATTTGGTGGTCTTTGCTTCATCTATGGTTCCATGTCTTCGATCTTTCCTAAACACAGTGAGCCATGGAGAAAGACAGTCCATCACCTAACCCCTAGACTTCCTTTCTGGGATATTCTTTGTACTGTCCAAGCACAAAGATTCCTTCCCGGAGTGAGGTCTGTCCAGGTTGTAAAGCAGGAGGGTCAGAAACTTGGGCCTTGATGAAGTACCTTCTTCTGCATGTAACAGAGCATGCTCACCCAGACATGCAACACTGGCTGCACATTGCAGTTTCTTTAGGTGCTCTTTGACCTAACATTATTTTCTCTGCTTTTCTGTAGCCTTGTCAGGCTATCAATCTCTCTTCCCTCACCACGCCCTACTGCCTTTTCCTTTTCTCTTACATACATGTTTACATACATGGGCACACACACAGGAGAAAATGCAAATTAAAATGCACTACAAAAGTATTCTCCTCATTGTCTACATGTTTTATTTACCCTTCTGTCATAGCTTCAGAACCACTCACCTCAAAACCTGCTCAAGAGCAGAATGAAAACTTAGAGTAGACAGAAAGACTAGTTGGGGATTTGATGAAAGCATGGAAGCTTTCTTAGTGAGCTGTTATGGTTTGTATCTGGATGTCTTCCTCAGAGTCTCATGCACTCATGGGTGGAACTTTTTGATGTGGCTGGATCTAGGGTGTGTGACTGTGAATTAAGGGTGTAATACCTAAATTATTCCACTGATTTGCTTAGCATATTTGTGAGTGTGGATAATGGTTGTTGCCTGAATGGAACAATAAGAGAAGGAAGGCTCACTGCTTCACTGCCTTCTGCCTGCTCAGCCAAAGACTGTTTCCCTTCTGGGATGCCCCTCTGCCATGCCCTGGAGCCGGGTGACTGTGAACTGAAATCTCTACAAACAGTGAGCTAAAATCTCTACAAACAGTGAGCTAAAATAAACTTTTCCTCTTTGAACTTGTGAGAGTCGGATATTTTGTGTCAGCACTGAAAAAGTAACTAACACAGTAGTCATTTTAGTAGGTGGAAAGTAATATCTCATTATGCTTTGACTTACATTTTTTTGATTACTAATGCTGAGAATCTGGTTTATACATAGTTGTATTTGATATATTGGTACCAGTAACATGCACACTACAGTAAAGGAAGACTCCTTTGAAGGATTCTTTTCAAAAGACAGAATTCTTCTCAAGAGACAGAACATGCCTATCAACATACCTGGTTGGTCTCTTTTCTAAGGTTAAATATAAATTTCTTGAGAGTGCCTGGTGTCCTGTCATGTTAGACACTTAGAATGAGCTAGATGGGAGAAAGGGGATGCATTATTTTGGAATACTTATGTAATTTTTTAGGGTTAACTAACATCAATAATTGTATCCTATAAGAATTATCACTAAAATATTTTTCTTCATAAGGTTTTGACAATCAAATACATAAGCTGGGCTGCTTTGAACTCCTTCCTTACGATTCCAAATGTTTCTGAAGGTGAAAGGGGTCAAATGGTGAAAGGTGAAAAATGGGGCCAAATGGAGCATAGTGGGACTGAACAATATGATTTCTTTCCAGCCCAACCTTAGAGACCTGGTGTCAAACCCAGCTGAGTCTGCTGAATCTGTAGTGCCCCACTTGCCAAATGGTGATAGATGGGCCCTTTTCACCATGCAAGAGTAGCTTCTCGTCTTCACTGAAAGTGATATATCCTGGTGTCTTAGTTACTATTCTCTCATTTCTGGAACAAAATGCCCGATGCTCAAATTTAAGGAAGGAAAGGTTTCTTTAGCTCACAGTTTGTGGAGGTTTCAGTCCATAATAAGCTGGATCCAACGGCAAGGTGGCATGGCTGAGAGGTTGTGTGTTCATGGCCATGGAGGACAGCAAAAACAGTAAGAATAGAAAGGGGGAAACAAGCCTCCTTTCCTCCCTTATATTGTATGCAGGCTACCCACCCTAGGGCTCACATAATCTCTGTGCTCTTCTCTTGTATAGGCTCAGGATATTTACCCTGGCCCTCTACTGAGTCACTTAGTTAAACTTCTAAACTTCTCAAGTTGACACAGTGTATCAACCACTATATCTAGATTTGGATTTTCTTTTCTCTGTCATTGTCACTGCCTTAGTGTCACACCAGGCTCAGATTACTTGAATGTCTCTGTGTTCCATAAAATAAGAATGTATTTTCCAGCCAAGGAAATTACCTCTAAGTGCTCATGGTGAGATCCATGAATGTTATCCATATCTATGGGATTCAGGGATCTCTTCATATATTTTACTGCTTAGAATCAGCTGGCCTTACACAACATTAGTCTGAATCTTTGAAATCTTTGCAACAGCTAAAGCTGAGAAATATTTTCAGAGGCTGAAGTGCTTTTCTGCAAAATGAGTTCAAAAACAACTTTTTTTTTTCAAAATAACTAAATGATCAGTAAGCACAATTTGTGAAGATCATGCTTTAATGATCACATTTAATATTTTATACGCAAAATCTCCTTTCTATATACTCCAATCTAGGTTTGGCTGGTTTGGAGATTTTACAACTTTTGACAAGAAAAGGTTTCCTGCTGGAATTTGGGATTTCTTAGAGAAATTTTCTTTTCTCCTAGTGAGGCCACAGATTGAACTGTACAAGTGCTGCTGTTTTTCTTCATTTTAAATCTTCAGTCAGCTAGCCAGATGAACTCGCTATCTAACACTATCAGTAAAAAGTTTTGGGGGTAACTTGCAAAGTCACAGAGGTGAGGTAAAAAGGAAAGGAGGAGGACTTAGGAGGCTCCTGGGGGAGTTGGCATAACAATCAGGTAACTGGGTCCTCAGCTCCCTAAGTGTCTGCTAACTGTCATAAGGCCCCAGGTAACTTTTATATGAACCTTTAGTGGATCAAGTAAACACCCGGAAACCTACAAAACAAATGGCTAGAATCTTCCTATAACTGGATTTGAGAGTTGTGTGGACAAGGAGAAAGTAAATGCCATACCTCCAACGTCCACATCCTGAACTGCTTTCCCAGAGAGTCTTCTTACTTAGTTTACTCCTGGTCAGTCTTTTTATTCCTAACAGATAAGTTTAACATCTCAAAAGTACCTGTCCTCAAGTAGTGGGTTGTTTAGTACCCCAAATGTCTTGTGTAGCTTTCCATGTTTCAATGAATCAATTATCAATTTGTTAGAAAATACATAATACCTACTTCATAATACCCAACTATCTAGAAGTTTTGAGCTTTCCATCTTCACTTATAGAGAAGTGAGCTGTGTCTGAGACATATGTCAGTCACTGACTCTGTCCATCAGAATGAGCAGATACACAAAGCTCAATCCAAGGAGTGCTTTAGTTTAATTCTGATGCTGGATGAGGGTACAGGCTGTGCCACATAGCCCAGGATTCCTGCTAAGGAAGCTCAATTGTTCCGGATTGTATTTTTAATCCAGGGCAAGTAGTGAAAGATATTACTATAGATGCCAACATCAGCTCTCAGAATGCATCCATCTGCATAAGAAAGGATTCCATGAAGCACCCCCTTGCAGACTGCTGAAGCAGCAGAGACTTCCTGCCAGGGAAAAGAAAACAGGGTTATCATTCTGGGCAGTGACACAAGAAAGAAAATGGGAAAATTAAGGAACTAAGAATGTGCACCTTGCAAGGTAGTCTCCTTCCTGGAACGATGCCCACACAGATCATACTATTTTTGATCTTGTAGCCTGGATAGCCAACTTGACAGGCAGTCTTGGAGATGACAGAGACTTCTACATTCTGCACTGAGTCAGGGTCTTTGGCTACAGAAAAAGACAAAAATAGAACTTCCTTAACTGTTCACTTATATGTCACATCTAGTTTTTTCTCTCTTTCTCTTTTCTAACACACTTGTGCATTCTCATGCCATCAGAAAGGGAAACACAGACCTGTGGTAGTTAGGACAACCTGCAAGTGGGAGATTATCAGATTAACAGTTTCTCATTATGAAAATGGTTAAATTCTTGGAAGTTATATATAAATATGAGACATTTCCGCAAACAAGTGAAACAAATTGCTTTAATTTTTTTTGAATTTAAACAACTACAGAGTATCTTTCAGAAGTTAGTTTCTTAGCACCAAGGAATTTAGAGTTATTTAACTTAATTTCTCAGTTGTTATGTGAAAAACCAAACTAAATTGCATCAAAACAAAATCTGCCAGAAAAAAAAAAAAACAAAACAAAAAACCCACACACATTTTCTTGAGCTTAAACAATAGTAGGAGGTAAAACTAGGATTTAAAATTGAGAATCCTGATTCTTAATTCAAGTTGTTTCCTGTAAGCCCATAATTTTTGCCAACTCAGTATAGCTGTATAAATTTTTTCTAATCTGAAATAAAATGAGAAAAACAAAAGCAAAGCAGCATCTATATACATGTCTGGTGTTCTCTGCTGTTGTCACAGTTTTGGAAAAGTGTTTTGAAATTTTTGTTTTTCTTACTTTAGTACCTTTGTTTGAAAATAACATTGATTTGAACTGAAGCATTGAAATCTTTATTTTCTAGTTCAGTAATAGTTTCATGGCTCAGCATTTCCTTTGTTAATACTTCTATAAGACATGCCTGCCTAATCACCCCACAAACCAGATCAAAATGAGTCACATGTTTCTTGTAGTCATATCTCTTTTTGACCTGAGTGAATCAAACACATTCACCAGAGGGATATTTGTCTACATTCAAAAATCAAACTGATTTTCAAAGGACCAAGAAGAGTTTCTACTTTTTATTTTTTATTTTCATTTTGATGTTTAATAATAATTGATATATTTCAAGAGATGCAATGTGATGTTTTGAGTCATGTATGTATTGTGTAATGATCCAATCAGGTGATTGGCATATTTATCATTTTAAATATTTGGTTTATGGTGACGAGAATGTTTAAAATCTTCTCTTCTTGCTCTTTTGAAATAGTCACCTACTGGGCAATAGGACACTAAGATTGTCCCTCCTATCTAAGATAACAGTACTCGTCAGTCAGCTTCCCCCTCCTCCCCTTCTGCCCTTGTCCTAACTTCTTGGCATATTTAAGAAAATGTGGACTGAGATTAGTTGATAAGACATTTGTTTGAAGATCAATTTTAAAAAGTTTCAAATAATGGCAGCACTGTTAGGGAAATGTATAGCTGCCTCTTGGCTCCTACAAAAAGAGATAGATAGATAAATAAATAAAATCTGACAGGCTTGTTCAAAATGACCTTTCCATAGAATGGTGCCTAGTGTTCAAGACAAATTAAACACAATCAAACACACTCATGAGTAAAGTCACATTAGCAATTATTCAGAAGGGACTGTGTCAATGTGGTATTTTCCCTATAGGTAATTAAATATTTCTCTAGGACTCACTACTATCTTAACAACTACAGACAGATTATTAGGATTTAGATGAAAATTTTGGGGTAGATTAGCAAGCAGACAGCAATAAAACTTCAAAGCAGAAAGCTGTCTAACTTGCTTAAAGTTTTTCCCTGAAATCTGAAATGGGAGTTATAGGAGAAAGTTTAGATAGAATATCTAGTTCAGTAGCCTCCAATCATGCATAGAAGATTTTCACTGGTAAAATGTGACAGCTTTCTGTCAATCCTCTGAAGAAATAAGCAATGTTTAGAATTCTATCTTAAGCTTTAAACTAGATATTGCTTACAATCTTACATAAGAAGATTGTCTGATTAGAACTGTAATATATGTTTCTTTTTTTATTTTTCCAGTGAATCAAGTTGAGGGGTGCTCTTCCACTTAACTATATCCCAGTCCTTTTTTTTTTTTTTTTTTTTTTTTCACAGACAGAATCTTGAACTTGTGACCCTCAGCCTCAGTCCCGTTAAGTGTTGGAATTACAACTGTATGTAGCTCTTATGTTCAGTATATTAATATTTATTTCATGGCATTCATAACTTAAAGTTGCTTTTGTTATCTGGAATGGTCTGAAGACTGATAAGACGCTAGAGTTGAGGAAATTGAGTTAAATAAAATGCTATCACACAACAAAACAAGACTAGACATGCCTTTTCTTACTGCTGATGCCCCTTTTATAATATATGGAAGCAGAGATAGTAAAAAGATGCAGTGTGGAAAAGTCTGCAGGGCTCCTTAAGGAAGATGTAGGGAAAGGGAAAGGAGATAAAAAGAGTGAATGCCAAGTTTTGAAGAAGCCTCACTGGGTAGAACCACAGAATTCAAGAGAAGCAAAGGTACAGAGGCAGACCTAATGAGGGGAGAATGTTACTGAAATCAACAGATCCACGTATGTCTTGAACTTACTCGCATCGCACAGGTTGTAGGCCCAGGTGGAGACATCACACATCATATCTTCAAAGGCAGGAGAGCTGGGCAGATTGACCACTTTCACATAGTTATTGAGTTCAACCAGTTTACTAAGCTTGATTAACATGAGGTCATTGTCTATAGAAGAGACTAAAAATTGTGGGTGATGAATGATCTTATTGTAGCCAACCACTTGCACATTTCCTTCACTGATGTTTGATGGGTTTGTGATCCCCAGCGCTATCTGGAGTCTCCTGGAACAACATGAACGTTTTCGAGAAACTTGAGATAGATGGCGTTAGGCTATTAGCTCTCCCTGCACACTTTTTATCTGCCACCAAATGTCCCCAAAGATCTGCCTCCTATTATTAACTGGGAGAGAGTACTGGGCAGAGATCTGGGTCTGTGCCCACCTTGAGGAGCCAGAGTAGAGTGGCTGTGGGGGTTTTGCACTCACGGCAAATTGCAATGTGCAGCTGTGATCACCCACAGGGGGTGAATGAGGGCACCTGTGCAGGGCAGGTAGTCAGATTTCAAATAGGCCAGGTAGGGAGGCACGACATCACCTATGGAGTCTGAATCAAAAGCAAATGCAGCTGGAAAGAGAGGCACACATCAGAAACTGCAATTTCTCAGTAATCATTAGAAAAACACAACGAAAATCATTTAACAGGGTTTGAGTCCCTCCTTTTCCTCTAACAAGTTGTACTATGAACTAAATCTAGAAAATGCCTTATGTTATTCTAAGGAATGAAGAGAATTATAAAGGATAAAAAACATTTGTTTCAAAAAATGAGATGTTTTCCTTTTACGTGTCAATAATTATTCTTCAAATTGAAATGTAAATTTTCATGATTCAGTGGGCACTGTTAAATCAGCTCATCCTTACTCTTGCAAAGTGTGTTTCCCTTTCTCATCAATAATACAAGATAAAATGATCTAAGTGCCAGGGTAAGAGTAGACCCAATGTCAGTATAGTCCAAGGAAGGTTCTGGGAATAAATCATTTATTCAACAAATAGTGAGCACTTAGTGTTTGTTAGGGGCTTGCACTATACAGTACTGTACACTGAACAACACACCTGTATCCCTGCTCTCTTACTTTGACTTAGTGGAGACATTTAATAACAATAAAAATAGTATATAAATAAATGAAAATAGTATGGTAAATGGTGATTAATGCTATGGGGGAAAGATAAGGAAGGAAGGAAGGAAAGAAAGGAAGGAAGGAAGAGGGAGGGAGGAAAGGCAGTATCAATTGTGTGTGTGCTTGTGTGTGTGTGTTTGTAAGGTGGAGAATTATGCAGTATTAGGTTAGTTGTCAGGGTCAACCTCATAAACAGTGCTGAATAACAGAATGAAGACAGAAATGTTAAATGATCAGATGTGTGGGGTCAGGTACTCCATGCGGAAGAAAGTGCTATAGCCAAGATTCTTAAGTCTTGTTTAAGACACAGCAATGAGGCCAGGGAGGTGGACACCCAGTGGGGAGAGGGAGTTGGCAAAAAGCAGTTCAGGAGGTGATGGAGGGCTCTGCAAGATGTTGGAAGAACTTGGACTTGTTCTCTGAGTGAAAGTGATACCACCTTAGGGTTTCACATAACAGAATGATGACACTTTCCCCTTGGAGACCTGTAAGGTATAGAAGGAGAGGGGCTTGGCAGGACAATAATTTGATAATCCAGGCAACAGCTGGTGGCTTGGCATATTGTGGGCAGTGGAGGTGTGGAGATGTGATTGATTTTGAATTTGTTTAGAAAACAACCAACAAGATTTTCCTAATGTGAGGAAAAGAAGCATGCCAGATGCTCAACTTTTTAATACTGTGCTGGGCCTGTTAGTTGGATACCTGCTTTCAAACCCCACTGTCAGCTCCTACTCTCTCACCCCAAAGCCAGTCTTGTTGTAGATATGTCCAGAGTCACCTCTTCCTTAGAAGTGGGATTGTCTGAGGGTGTCATCATTTGTGTCTCCCCAAAATACACAATCAATGAATATCAAGTGGGCAGGCATTGTCCTAGGGTAACCTTGCTGGAGACAGTAGTAGTGATAAAAGTCAGAGAATCTGTCCTAGGCTTGAAATCTGTAAATGTGTCTCTTGCCTTGATCTATATTTCATGATTGTCCAGGATTTCTCCTTAGCAAATAAACAGAAAAAAATAGGGGTACTCACCGGGCAGGCTTAAGAATGGCCAGAGGAGAATGAATTTCATGATGACATTGGAAGGTTTGCACAGGATTAGTATCAGCTCTTAGATTCTGGAAGCAGGAAGGAAAGGAGGTTAAATAAAATAAAGCAGGGCAGAACTCTAGCATTGGGGGGAAAAGTGTGAACCAAATTCTTTTAGTGGGAGAATTTAGTTCACAACAATGGTGTCCAACCCTCAGAGTAGTGGTGGTGTCAGCTGTAGAAGTAGAAACTGAGCTTGTTGGCTTGGCCCCCAACACAATAGGGAGCTGTTCTGGAATGAGGATTTTGCCCAACCTTTTGTCAAAGAATGTACCTGACCAGAGTGAAGTTGAAGTTTACAGTGTACCCACAGCCCCTCTTCTACTCCGCAGGCTGCTGCCCTCCAGGCTGTATGATGCCCCTCCTGCCTCTGTGATGCTGGCCTCCATTTGTGTGACATTGTTATTGGTCTGCAGGGGAACTTGTCCAGCCCTCAGGGGCTGATATGGCTCCCTCTACCTGACACTAAACTTCTCCTTGAAACATTTCAATCTTTTGCCTCCTGTCATTATTAATTTATTCATTATATTAATTAGGCAATGATTCATGTTGCATATGCTTTGCTTGTGCTAAGATATGTGAGTGCTGTTGGAGTGGCCTAGATTTAGAGGACACATTTCTTCCTTCCAAGTGGCCACAGATGGAGAAATGATGTGTATTTAAGTGGTTACGATTTCAAGAATTCAGAGTTAAAAATTGAAGAAAGTCACAGATTGGGTAAAAGTGCTTACAGAACATATGTCTACTAAATACTAATTTGCATCCAAAACATGTAAAAAATAGTAAACTCAACAATAATACAACAACCAATTTAAAAATGGGTCAGAATCTGAACAGACACTTTATCTGATGTTTTAGTCTGCTTGGGCTGCCACAATAGAATGGTGCAGTCTGGGAACTTTAAGCACAAAATATCTGTTCTCTAGCTGTTCTAGAGGCTAAAGGTGCATAAGACAGGTGCTGGCAATTTGATTTCTAGCAATGGCTTTCTTCCTGGCTTGCAAAGAAACTCTCATGTTGGGTTCCCATGACCTTTTGTTTGCCATATGTAAGGAACAAGGGAGAGAAAGATCACTGGATTTTCTTCTTTTAATGTCACTAGTCTACTCATTTAACTCTAACTACTGATAAACTTTATTAATCTTTGAATATAGTCACAATAGATTTGGGGGCTTCAACAATAAAATTTTGGTAGTGATGGAGACACAGCTTTGTTCACAGCACCAGAGAAGATACACACAAGGAAAGCAACATGTGAAAATATTCTCAAATAATAGGCCATTAAGAAATAGAAGTCAAATAACAATAAGATACCGCAATACACCTAGTAAAATGGCTAAGAATTCAGCATGCTGACAATAACAAATGTTGGCAAGCATGTACTTTTATTGCTGGTGGGAATACAAAATGTTAAATCTGTTTAAAAATAGTTTAGAATTTTCTAAGCTAAACATAGCCTTACCACCCACATGATCCACCAATCAAACTTTTTGATATTTATCCAAATTGATTGAAAATTTATGTCCAAAAAACCCCACATATGAATATTTGCAGCAAAAGCAGTCCTTGGTAGCAAATGCAAATCCAGTGGCATCATAATCCCAAAATTGAAGTTATATCACAAAGCAACAGTGATTAAAGCAGCATGGTAGTGGCACAGAAAAAGATATACAGCTCAACTGAACACAGTAGAGGAAACTTAAACAACTCCAGGAACACACAGATATTTGATCTTTGACAAAGGACCCAAAAACACACACTGGGGAACAGAACAATCTCTTTAATGGTACTGGGAATATTGGAACTCCACATTTAGACCTAAGTATCTCACCATGTACTAAACTAAACACAAACTGAATCAAAGACCTACATGTTAAAGCTATAATATTTAATCTGCTGGAAGATAAAATAGGTAAAACTTTTGAAGACCAGAAAAAAGTAGGCAATAACTTTCTGAATAGAATTCCAATAGCATGAGAAATAATACTGAGAACCAACAAATTGGATCACATCAAGTTAAAAAGCTTCTGATTACCAAAAGAAACAACAGAGTGAAGAGATAACCAAAAAATGGGAAAAAAAATTGCCACACGTGGAAAATATAAAGAATCCATTGAGTGTGTTTCAAGCCACTAAATTTGCACTAAAGGTTTTTAGACAGCAATAGAAAACCAATAGAAGTGTAAGTGGCAGGCTAGAGGGCGGCTCAAGGGAATGAATATCATATAAGTTAATGTTACACATGTCACAGTGCAGGAAATAAAATCAGACAGAAAATCATGCAGTGTGGGCCTAAGGTGAGGCTCAGAAACCCACGATGGGGATCTGAAGTCTGAGAATTGAAAGGACAGTGGAAGTTAGACAAATGAAAAGATGGAGAGAAGTCTCTGTGAAGAAAAACTACAGGTCAAGAGAGCAGAGTCTGAGGAGAGGACACAGGCAGGGAGATGCAGAGAGGAGAAACCTATAGGACAGAACTCTCAGGAATTCTGTCACCAGGGAGATGGGTGTAGAAAGGACACCCTCGGGCTGTGCATTTTAAGTAAGGAAAATTTGATTTTATTAAGTTAAAGCAGAACGAAGCCAACAGATTGGAAAAGTTGGATAACAGGTACCAAAATACAGTTTTATAGGGAAAATCATTTCTAGAGTCCCACAGCCCTCTGGGGTAGATATAGTTTATAATATTTTATGATAAATTTCAAAATAACTAGAAAGGCAGAGCCCCAAGTCTCTCAACATGTAGAAATGATAAATGTTCTAGAAGACTGAACTGCTAGGTACCTTGATTTGATTATTACACATCACATATATGTAGCATAATACCCATAAATGTGCACAAATGTTAAAATATATGCATAAACAGACACTTTCAAGCCAAAGAAGTGAAAAATACACAAAATAAAGATAATTAATATACAAGTCCATGAGGAAGTTAGTGGAGGTGGGACCCATATCTCAGGTTCACGCAAAGTCTGAAGGTAACAAGGTCACTCTTTCACTGTAGGACAACCCATAAGGACGGAAGAGCAAAACAACAAAGACCAGGCATGTGTGCAGCTTTGATGATGCCAGGTTGTACTGGATGAGACCTCCTCCTATTTGTAAAGCAGAGGCTTTCTGCTACAAGTGAGCACTGGATATCTGAGGAGAGAACCGCTCTGAAGTGGCTGCTGTGGAGAATTATGTAACCAATTGCCTTGGAATACAAGGATTATCCTTAAGTGCTGAAGACATAAAGGACTATGGAAGTGGGGCACAAAGGCACATGGCTATAATCTTCTGCTGAGGAAAGAATGGCAAATTTGACAAGGCAATTTAGCAAGACCTATTCTTGAAATAAAAATAAAAAAGGGTATGGCAATGTACATCTGTGATGCCGTGGGTACTACACACACACACACACACACACACACACACACACACACTGTAGCAAGTACTTAGTTGACCACTTAAAAATCTGTAGGCACAAATACAGCTGTGATTCAAGGAAGCAGGAGCACTGGGAAGTGATGCATCAGAAAGAGCACTTGAGTGGACATGGGTATGAGGTTATGAGAAACGATAAATGAAGAAAATAAGAAAATCTTGCAATATCACTGGGCCACTGAATCTTTATTCCATTCTTTCTCCTTCTCCACAGCTGATTTTCTACTATGACATGTTACTTATTTTCATCTGTTTTTTTTCAGACAAGTTAAGCATTTCCCCCTGGCTTTTAATAAACTATTCTCTTAGTCCCTTAATTTGCCTGCTTTCCTCATGATTTCTCTTTTAACTCCACCACCAAAATACCTAATTTTGTGCTCTACTAGAGATTATTCTTCATGTTCTCTATAGCAATTGTCACAAAGCATCAAATTGGATAATGGATGGGAAACGTCCTATTGTATCCTTGAACAGGCTCAATATTTTTTTCACGAATGAACAAATAGTGCTAAGTCTCTCCCCATTCTCAAAGTCTGCATGGTAAACAAACAGGAATCATAAGTGTTGGGTGTCTTTTTTATTGGATGTTTTCACCTTGAATTTTGCACAAGAAAGATGAAGTGTGTTGTGGACCCAGTGTGGAAATTATGCAGACATTACATTGAGAGGGTCACTTCAGTGGGTAGTCATGATTTCTGTGATCCATTTTACATAAGGATGAATCTCTGTGAAGAATCCTTCACTTCCCAGGGTGATAGAACCTTTGGTCCAGGACAAGATTCCCTGCACTCTCCCGCTGCAAATGGCTGGAGCCGCTGAAACTTCCTGCTCCGAAGAGAAAAAAGGAATTCAGTGTGGCTTTGTCTTCACTTAACAAAGATAAAATTTCAAGAAATGATGCATTACAGCAACCAAACCATCCAAGGTAATGGAACTATTTTGCTGGAGAGGTGACAGCCCTCTCTGAACATCCATATTGGTTTTCTCTTCCTGATTCAAACTTGGTCCAAATCTCAGTGTAGTTAGGAGACAGGACAGGTGTACAGGACAGGACAGACAGGGTCAGGAATAATCCCAGATATTGCTTACCCTTAGATGAAATGAGAGGAAAGAAATACATCTAAAGACTGAGCAGGGTGGGGAAAGGACTTTAGCTTTTCTATCCCTTGCTCTTTGGAGGAGCTTTTGATTTCCCATCATCACTGCTCCCTCCCAGTGGACCCCACAGTACACTCATCTGTGAAGGAGGGAAAGGTACCTCAATTTTAGATAGGATAGTTAGAGGTTGTCCTATACACATGATGTTCACTGTGGTTTTTTGTTCTTGTGTCAGAAGCATATTCTGGCAGTCACGAGAGGGAAGAATGTGTTGGTTTATCCATGTCAGGATATCAGGTTCAGTAACTGTGGGTAAGAGAAAGCACACTCCAGAGTTATTCCTCTCATAACAGTGCTGTTGTAGTCAGCCTATATTTTATAAATACATCCTTTCTGAGAATATTCAATGCAAATCATAGTAGACATGCTGTCCCTTTTAGGGTATTTAGTTTAATCTATAGTTCTCTCTCACTACTATGCATAATTTATGAAAATCAGAAGCACCTATGTAAACATTATGAGTTGCCATGAGTGATAAAGCCACTTATATAAAATCTATCCTGTCTCCATTTTGGGTCATCTACTTCATTTTTATAATTTATCATAAAAAGAGAAACTATCTTTACTGTGTATAAAACTACTTTTTAAATTATATACATGTTGAATTTCTGCTCTGAGAAATGTATCATTAGGTAATATTTTGTTGCAGTGTAAACATCACAAAGGGGATGTATCCAATCTATGTGAGGCAGCCTCTTCATAGGCTGTACTGTATGGCAGCCTCTTGTTTCTATGCTATCAGGTTGTATAGTATATTACTGTAATGAATAATGCAACATGGTTTTAAAGCACCTGCGTATATAAATATACCTGTAAAAATGAGTAGGTATGGAAAAAATACTAGGAAATAGGAAAGTTTCAGCTCCATCAGAATATAAAATGATCGCTGTATCGTTGATATCACTGGTTGAAACATTGTGTAGCACATGATAGTAAATAGATTATTTAGAAATTCATTATTTAAAAAATATATTCTGTGAGAGGTCAAAATCTCCATTTCTGCCACACAACAATTGCTATTAGATTGTCAGCTTCAGAATGCAGGAGCTGTTATCAAGGAATCATGCAATTTTAATTTTGTTAGGAGCAAGAAAGAAGAAAAAGAACTGAGCAGAAATAGATCAAGCTTAGCCAAGTGGTGGTTAGGAACAGTATTTTTTCTGATACAATAAAATACCCCAAAGTAAAATAGGACAGAAAGCATCAGGTTAAACAAGGAAGAGAGGAGTTATGTTTAAGTTCTTGTGTGAAGTAAATTGAAACACATTTAAGAAATGAGGTGAAATAATTTAAATTCCTGGAAATAAGGCATTCTTGACACATATTGGAAGCCCTATACAAGAGATCTTACAAAGGTATAATCTGGTATTGTTGTTCTGGTTTACAGAGCCTAAATGATAAAATCTTCATATAGCTTTATCTCTAAACAACAAGGAAAAAGTATTTTTGTAAGATGTGATACAAAGTCTTTGAGTAAGACAAAGTCTAGGACAGAAATCATACAAGTTGTAATTTGTTCAGAAAATACACTCCTTTACATTCCTAGGCACAGTTCTTTGCATCTAAACTGAAATAAGTACTCACAAAATATTGAGAACATGAAATTTCCTTCTTTCCTCTTTTCTTTTATCCTCTCCCCTTCTCCTTCCTTCCTCCCTCCCTCCCTCCCTTCCTTCCTGCCTTCCTTCCTTCCTTCCTTCCTTCCTTCCTTCCTTCCTTCCTTCCTTCCTCTCCCTCCCTCCCTCCCTCCCTCTGCTGAGGACTAAACCCAGAAACTTGCACAAGCTATAGGCAGGATTTCTATCACTAAGCTATACCTTCAGTGCACAGGTACTTTTTAGTTTCCTGCCTATGCTGGTTTGGGCACATGGTGAAGGTTGTATATTTACTTTTTTCCCTGAAATGTGTCTGTTCAGAGTCAGCAACAATATATCAGAATCATCAAACATTTGTCGAACAACTCGAGTCTCCGTGTCTAATAGGGGATTCTCAGATATAGCAGCAGGTATAGCAGTGGGACTCTCTGGAAGGAGCTAGTTTTGGTGATAGTACGAGCATCTTCCTCAACTGTCTTTTGACCTCAGCACACAGTGGGAAGAATGAATCACTGTGTTTCAGCACCCAGACTCTTTTTCTTCTTACTTCTCTTCTCTTCCCTTAAGCGCAGAGTGACCTTCTCACCATTCACTGAGTAGACCACCCTGCCTCAACACTGTCTCTGTGAGTGAAGCATCTTAGTTTTCCACCTCTGTTTCAAAATTCAGATCCTTTGAACTTGGTCTTGAGTATTCTAGATACAATAATGACCACCTGTTCTATGTATTACTGTCTGATTAGCTGCCTTCTATCAGCGTATTTCAATATTCTCCTGCAGTCCTGATGTGTAAGTTACAGGCAGTAATCACGATAGAGTCATAAACATCATCTCATAGCTTCTTTTTCTAGAAAGTGCATGTCATCATGTTCATCCTGTAGCTTCAAATTCCCTCATGTGAAAACACAGAGTGGTCAAACACTTACTGTTTTTATAGTCAACCCACATCCAGGTTGGAATAAAGCAGGTGTCATTAAACAATGAAGGTTCCATAGCTATGGCGATAGTTCCCACATAGGAGTTGATACCAGCTTCCCTGGAGAGTTTTATCAACATCAGGTCATTTTTCAGGGTTTTTTCATCAAATTCAGGGTGAGTCACAGTCATTGAGTAATTGCGCAGCTGTTCTCTCTTATTTTTGAAGCTGGGTTGATTAACTCCCAGTCGGATTTTTTCACTTTGGAAGAAAGAAAGTGAGAAGCTGGTTAAAAAAATATGGAATCATAGAATGCCATACTTAAAGAAATGCCAAAATCATCTTTTTCAACCATCATAATCTCATTTAGTAACCTGAAAAGTAAAATGACCTAATTTTGTAAGATTAAGAATTCCCAGGATTGTGGTATTACAGATACGAATATGTAAAATCTGACATGGTGTTAGGTATCTAAAATATACTCAAGAGTGTCCATTCTTGTTAAGAGTTGGACAGTTTGAATTAACAGAGAGCAAATAAAGATGGCAACATAATCCTTGATGTCCAGGCTTTGTGTATTCCACAGTCTCCAACAGTACCTGAGAAACAGGCTGTACCCACTGTTTCTGGATGTGGCTGGGCTGTCTAGTGCCCGCAGTGACTCCTATCACTGTGTTGAGCATGTGTTGCTTAGGTTTATAACAGGTGTGCAAAATACTATTAGCAGTTTGTCAGGACTCCCAACTGCCATTTCCCCTCATATTCCCCAGGTAAATCCAGGCTTGCCTACCTCCATCCCCAGAAGTCTAGTTGTGCAAAAGATTCTAAAGCCATTCCTTGCTCAAAGGACTTTAAGCACTCCATAAGGACAGTGGAAAGAATTTTTGCTTTCCCATCACCATTATAGGAGGATGAGAGCTGACTTCATTTCCAGTGTCTTCTTCCTCATGCAGAGAGCAAGCATTTGAGCTGTGTTAGACTACACTCTGTTAAGACAACCAGGGGGCTTAGAATCTGAGGTTGAAGTGGCCCTGGGTGCTCCCGGAATTCTAAATAGGGCTTCCGCACACAACAGCTTCTCACATCTGAGCACTCACATTAGCACTGAGATTTGCATGGGAGGCATTATGTTGTACAGAGAGTGTGTTCTCCTATGACTTACATGACATGGCCTCTGGATAACTCTAATTCCATCCTATGAATATTTCCCTAATCATTATACCTGTTTGGGAAATGCCTTAATATCTTTGCTATGTCAGAGACTACATGAATATTTTTCCCTGTGCCTGGACTATCCCATAGGCTTTATTCTTTTTTTTTTCTTTTTTTTTTTTTTTTGTCTTTTTCCTTTTTATTGATACCCGGGATGGAACTCACGACTGCCTGCTTGCAAGGCAGGCGCTTATGCCGCTGAGCTAAATCTCCAGCCCCAGGCTTTATTCTTTTTACTGCTTCTTTTCAAACTGGTTTCACATCTTTGGAGAAGTCTAGCACAAACAGCCCTGTATATTGTTCCTGTATATCATTGCCCACTATTGTTTTAGGCTGTGTTTTGGGCCATACGCTTGTTTGGGGGTTCTTGTATCAAAATGTAAGCTCTGTGAGGGAAACCTTACTTCCATCTTACACGCTCACTGTTGTCTCAGTGTGCTAAACAGCCTTAGCTATTTAGTAAAAGTTTGATAACGTTTGTTGATGAATGAATAGTATTTACTTTTCATTGAAGTCTGCTGATGTCTCCTATTGATCTTTAATTGAACCACCCAATGGTCTGCTCTCCACTGAGATCTTCTGTCTTACTGGTTCTTCTAGTCTCACTGAAAACTCTTGGGGATATTTCACCACGCCTACTTCACTGGAATACTTACGGTAAGGGGCAGTGAGCGGCTGTCAAGACCCACTCGGGGTGAATGAGGACCCCCACACAGGGCTCGGGGCTGGCCTGCAAGTACACCAGGTAAGGAATGGGGAGATCTTCCAGTACTTTCATATTTTCTAGAGTGACAACTGGAAAGAAGAAGGTTATGGGTAGAAAGAAAGACAGAGAAGTTAGGTGGCTAGAACTAGCCAAAATCATTTTTGCTAACTGGAGGTTTCCAAAGATAGTATTAGAGCCTCTATGCTTAGTATTTTTTAAAGTAAGAGAAAATCATGCATGCTGCTCAGGAAAACAATTTTAAGAAGCTAACACATAGTTTTGCTCCAGAAATTTGGAATTATTATATTTGGGTCCTGTGACAAACCAGTAGGCTCATCTCGTATTGATCAGAAGCTCCGACTACCAGTGCTACATATTTCAAAAATGAAAAAAATAAGTTGACACTTTAAATGTGTTATTTTTTAAGAATTAAATTTTACAGGCGAGGGGTTTAGCTCAGCAGCACCAAGAGCTTGCCTGGCAAGCATGAGGTTGTGAGTTTAATTCAGGTACAAAAAAAAAAAAAACAAAACAAAACAAAAAAAAAAACAAAAACAAAAAACAAAAAACAATTAACTTTTACCAAGAATGAGGGGGAAAGATGAAATACTGCCTGACTTTGGAATTTAAAAAAAAAAAATAAAATGGGGAACCTGGGGGCTGAGAGGCCCTCATCAGCCTTCAGTCTCTTCCTGGGCCCACTCATCTAATAACCTTTTGCCCAAGGAAAGAGAGGGTGGCTTACAGGAGAAAGGAAACCCAGGGTATCACATGCTTGGGGCTTGAAGAGGACATCCTCAGACAGCAGGGCACTGATGCCAAGGGCATCCTGTCTACCTCACAGGCATCGTAGGCATCAGAAAGCACAGTGACAGGATGAACTGTCTGCATGAAGAATGCTCCTTTCACTTCCACAATGAACTACTTTGTTAAAATGCCCCTCCTAAACCCACTTCCTATCAGTTTGGTTGTAGCTGCTGACTTCTCTTCCCAGCCCCTAATACACTTCTCTGGGTCTCACCCTGGGCAGAAACCAAGCCCCAAACTCTCACCAGTGGCAGTCATGAAAATGAAGATGATATAGGACTTCATGGCTGGCTATGGTCTCACTGGACAAATAGTTCAGCCTATAAATGACCTCAGTCTGGAGTCCAGAGTCTTTGACAATGGCAGCTGATGGATGGAGAGAAGATTTTTGTGGAGTGAGGAGAGAACCAAGGGTCCCACAGTGGTATTCAAGCGAGTCCTTATTAAGGCTAAATTGTATAAAATAGCGCTAGACGCCAACTATGATGTTGGTAACCAGGATGAAGGAGTAGACCTAGTCAAGGCCCTGGTTCCTCTGCTCTGACCCAGAAACCTCCCGGCATCATTATGTACCTGCTGACTGCCTACCTCCTGTCTGTGATGTAGTTTTATTTTATTGTCCCCTCCTTCCTTTGTGACTTTAAATCCCTCTCCCCTCCCTCTTTTCCTCCCTCCCCCAGTCTTCCTCTGCCAATTCCCTCTTTCTAGACTCTGTGCTACACCCAGACTCACAGAACACTGGAATATAAAATACATTTAAGAAATCCTTTTTTAAACAGACAAAACCTTTTCCCCTTTGCTTGCATCTGTTGAAAGACCAGATGTCAACCTTCCAACTCTATTTTGTTCCATGAATTATGAGCTAAGATCAGGATAGCTACACTCTGATCTTCAGCCTGGAGCCACTCACTGTTCCATTTGAACTGAACAAAACCCACTTCCTTATACTTATTCCTTTTTCAAAATGTACTTAGAAGATAACTTTATAAGACAATTTCTTGCTATCCCTCAGAGATCAGTAGTAATAAATAGCAGGATTAACCTCACATTTTATAGAAATGGAACAAATGCAAAACATACAGCTCTTCACTGGTCTATGTCAGAATAATTAAAGAGCTGATCAGTTATAAGAGACTATAAAATAGTGTTCTTATATCTAAAAATTACAAACTCAGTTCTTATAAAATTTAATTATGAATTTAAAACACGATGTCTGTATGCTCCCAAATGCACTAATCTTTAGGCGATTCCATTTCTTTGGTATGCAAAGCTTTAAATTAATATTAATAATAAAAGTATTTATTGTTTGTACTGCATGTCATATGCCTCACTTATATGAACAGATTTATATTTTTGTTATGACCAAAAATTAAATATTCCTTTTTTTGCAAATAAGAAACTAAAGCTCCATATGATTAAAAAAAACTTGCTCACAATCGCACAGTATAAACCGTCAATCCATGACATTTGAGGAAGCCTTGCCCTCCTCCACTCTTTGCAAAGGTTTGCCTGATAGAATGGTAACTTTTTTTCTGATGGTTTCTCTAGTTATTTCCAGGATGCAAGTGAAGATAGCAGCCTCAAAATCATTCCTCAATCTGACACTAACCTAATCCTGGGGTGGTTTTTGGAGTCTAAGCAAAGATTTGGATTTATTGAAACTGGCTCAGACCTGAAAACATCCTTAGAGCATTAGCAACCACTATGCAAAAGCTTTAATTATCTGTAGCACATGCATAAGATTTCCTTCCATAGCCCTGTTCCTGGTTACAGCAGCAGTGCCGATTCCCCCTTTTATGCCCTGTATACCCCATCCACCTATCTTTCCCAGCTACCCATCCTCTTCTCAGGAAGCCATCAAAGAGAGGGAAACCTCTATCTAAGTCACCAAAGGAAATTTGACCAGTTTTGTTACTATTTTGCATTGAAGATTCACTGATAAGAACCTGAAGACAACTACTGCCAATGCTCTCTCTGTTAAAGTATCTATTTTTCTAACAGGAAAAATTAGACTAGAGAATAATTATTCACTTTTTGGAGAAGTAACAGAGTAAAATTATTCCTTCTTTCTGGTCAGGGGTGGGTATTGGGGATTAAATTCAGTGCCTTTGAACTGAGATATACTCCAGCTCTTTATTTTTTGCTATTTGGCTAAATTTCTCAGGTTGAGCTTTTTGCAACCCTACTGGCTTGAGCCTCTCAGGATTCTGGGAGTGCAGTTGTGTACCCCCACGCCCATCTGAGAGGTTTTAAGGGCTCTAAGGCATTATTACCATCATACCTGTTATAATTCCTTTTGTTACATTTCATTAAATGTCACTTAGTTGTGACCTAACCCAAGGTTATTTCTAACAGAGTTTTTGGGGCAGCTTTACAGAAAGTATTTTCATATTCTCTAACATTCCTTTATATGGAAGGTAAAGTCTAATTTTCTTTTTCTTGAATATGGACTGGTACATTTTGTATACATTTCCTAGAACCCCATACAATTCTCTTGTGGCTATGTTTTTCTTAGGCATGAGTCCTTGGAATCCAGCTCGTTTGAGAAGTTTCATTCTGTCCCTAACAGAGGCCATATGGAAAAGACAACAGTCATGCCCGAGTCTCAGCCAATAGGCAGCAGTAATCACCAGATATGTGAGTGAAGACGCTCTAAGCCTAGCCAGTAACTGACTATAAATCATGACAGACTCTAAGAAAGATTCCCCAGTGGAACTCAGTCACATCCAAGAACCATGAGACATATTTAATGGTTAGTGCTATATTACACCAAGTTTGTGATGGTTTCTAGTGCAATAATCAAAACAGGCGGCAACCATTTTTAGCTTTGTCTCATGTTTTAATGGCAGAGAGTGAAGGGAGTTTTAAGAGAAGTGACTCTGCCTCATTGTTTAAGGGAGTCCACTGTAAAATGTCCCTGTCCACCTAGACGACCTCAAAAGCAATTTGATTACTTAAAATATGGAATCTATCTCCTGGTTTTCTTTTTCTTTTGTGGTATCGGGGAATCAAACTCACAACCTCACACTTGCCAGGCAGGCACTTAGGACACTGAGCTGTATTCCTAGCCCAGACACCTGGCTTTCTTTAATACCATGTCTGAGCCTCATTCTGACAAGTAGTGAATGTGTGGAGCATTCAAGATCATCTGGAGAAGGTTGTGGGGAGGGTTAAGAGGGATATAATTGTTTCCATTTGTAAGAATGTAACACAGCATAATTCAGCGAAGTCTGTGCATTATTTAAGACAAAACATTGCAGTCTAGGGCAGAAAAAATAAGAGTATGAAGGACTCACCACTTAGGATCTGCATTTCTCATGATAACCTCTGGAGCTTGGTTGTCTGGGTTCTATGACATTCATATTTTAGAATGTTAAGGTTCTGGAGGAGTTTATTGATCTCTGTAATTCTCAGTTTCTTTTTATGCAAAATCCATCACATAGATTTTTCTAGGATAATTAAGACATTTTTATAAAGTGGCTTTGACTATTGCTAGAGAAACAGTAAATATATAGATATTGATGAAGTACAGTAACTATAACTTCAGGTGTCTCATTTTTTCCAGGTTTTCAGAGCTGTCATTTTATTTTAATGTCTGAATATTGTTATAATATCTGTCTAACTTTTTCATATGCATTCATCTAATGATAGAAGCATGGGGTTTGCAGTTAAATTGAGTCAATAAGGTTCAGGTCCAGAGGACTTACTAGCTGCCTGAGAAAGACATTAAATTCCTTGAATCTCAGTATACTAAGCTATGATATAGGATGAATATTAGGGTACATATTTGTCATGTTTTATGTTTGTGTCCCCCAGGCCTCATGAATTTGCATTGTTCATATGTGATGGCTCATTGTATAGTGCTTGGATTGATGGTGTCAGTGCTCCACCCACATAGGGTTGGAGCCAGAATGTGATGTAATGGCAGGAAGAAGGTGTTTTTCTCTTTGCTGGTTCGAGTTTGCTGCTGGTGGCTGCCATGAACTGCAGCCCAGCCATGCCTGCCTGTCTTGGAGCCAACTGAGTGTGGACTGAAACCTCCAAAAACTGTAAGAAATAAACCTTTCCTTTCCCAACTTTGGGCTTCACGTATATTGTCTCAGTGACGAGCATAAAGTGCCTAAGACAATATTCATGGGATAGTTTTGATGCTAAAATATTATTTAAAAATATTTAAACATGGTGTATAATGCAGAGAAGAGATTTCATAAGTCATACTTATTATTACTAAGGTTTTCACTTCTGTGGTGAGCAATGAGTCCTGAGTACCATATTAAGGGGAAAAAGGCTTCAGTATGTTCTATTTCACAGAATTGTGTATTTTGATTCCAGTGATCATCCTGGAGATTGGTTCTTCCTGAAATTATATTCTGAATATACAGATATATCTCCACTAAAATTATTTGCAATGTTATAACCACGAGGCTGACAGTGGAGAGTAATGTTTTCCAAGTTTTCAGCAGCCAGAGATAAATTTATCAGTTGCTATAGTTAGATATAGCAAGTAAAGTGCCTTGCTTACATACAATTCTCTCTAATTTCAGGCTTTTTACCTCATCGCATTTCCTTGTATTTCCAGTAAAGATACCTGGATCTTATTGAATTGTGAAATAAAGATATATTTACAGTAAATATATTTTAGTGATCTATGGTAAGTCTAAGTGGCTGGTTTCTCTAAACCGTAGTGTATTTTGATAGTTCTTTGTTATTTTTTCTTGGGTTGTACTTAGGAAACTGTTCTATTTAGTATTTGTGAAAGATTTAATGCAAAACATAGGAGATTTTTGTGCAGTATTCACCCATAGTTCCAAATATTACAAGATTAGCACATAATATTCACCCACAAAGTGCAAGAGATCTTTTGGAGAGTTTAAGATCTTAAGAATCCAGCCTGGGGACTAGAGCACATGGCAGTCTCCCACATGGAGGCCTAGATCCCACAGTAAATGTCCTTTGCAAGTCTGTGTCAACGAGCCAAGGAATCTTCAGTAGGAGACTGGAGGATCTGGGCCAGAAAGCTGCAGAAGCTTCCTGTGGAGATGTCTGTGCCCAAAGGCAGGAAACAAATTTAAAGAAGATCAGCATCAGCATGGAATCCTCCCTTCCCATTCTCCTTTTGCACCATTATAACAGTCCTCCCCAAGTGGGCCTCCCATGTCCAGAACCATGCGAATCACACACTTGAGTGGGCATTCTCACTCAAATTGATGATCAATCCACCACAGCAGAAGCCTATGGATATTTCCTAATTATTCATCCCTTGATCTAATTAGATTTTTCTCTACATTATTTTCATTGATCAATATGTCATTCTTTTTGTGGTTGATTACTTACCAATGGGAAGACACATTGCCTATGAAGGCACTACTGTTTCACTGTTGACCTCTTAAAATAAAACAGAACTAGAAGTACCATAGGTCCAAAAGATGTTTTTGTTGAGAAGCTGAATAAATAAACAAAATTCCTACTTTTTTTATTGAAGGATATACCCTATGTATTTAGTCAATCCTCTATAAATGGAGACTT